AGAACATAAGAAGAGCCCTGCTGGATCAGACCAGTGGCCTATCTAGTCCAGCATCCTGCCTCACACAGTGCCCAACCACAGGGCATAGAGGCCGAGGCCTTCCCCTGATGTTGCCTCCTGGCTCTGCCTCTGAATGTGGAGGTTCCCCTCAGAAACTATGGCTAGTAGCCATTGACAGACATCCTCCATGAATCTATCTAATCCCCTTTTAAAGCTGACTATTCCTGTGGCCATCAAAACATCCTCTGGCAGCAAACTGCATGCCTGCGGCACCCCAAGCCTATGCAGCCTCAAGTTTGGACTCAGCATCGAACTCCTTAGAATTGATAATCCAGCCTAGTGTTGCAGCAACCCGAGCTTCTGCCACGTTGCGGCTGCTCTCCTTATTCCCACCAACACCAGATTCTCGCCCTTAACACCCTTGTAGCCAGGATTAGAATACATAGTGGATAAAAGTAGAAGCTACAACCACCACCCCTTCATATGGATGTGTATCCACAACCTCAGAGGTTAGAATCTGCATATCTGACAGGACACAGTCTCACCATATACAGGGCTTTTGTGGGCAGCTGTCTAAAATTTGATGAGGGAGATATCCAACATTCAGTAGTAGCTTTCCTGGAGGATGTGTAACCCTGAAAGCAGCCCTGAGGCAAAAGCTACATTTTTGGATCACCTCAGGACATGTCTGAGATTGTGGAAAGGAAGACACAATTGATATTAACACTGAGAAACCGATATCAGGGTACAGGCAACAGAAAAGCTGACTCAAATGTGAACTTGTGGGTCTCCTGACAAAAATATGTAATCTTTCATTAAAATCTGCCTCCGTTCCTGAGGACTGGAAGGTAGCTAATGTCACCCCCATCTTTAAAGGGGGTTCCGGAGGGGATCTGAGAAATTACAGGCCAGTCAGTCTGACATCGATACCGGGCTAGTTGGTGGAAACCATTATTAAGGAGAGAATTAGTAGGCACATTGATGAACAAAAACTAGGCAGACTCAGCATGGGTTCTGTACGGGAAGATCTTGTCTCACTAACCTGTTAGTGTTCTTTGAGGGGGTGAACACACATGTTGGATAAGGGGGACCCAAGAGATGTTGTTTACCTTGACTTCCAGAAAGCTTTTGATAAAGTTCTTCATCAAAGGCTCCTAAGTAAGCTCAATAGTCATGGGATAAAAGGACAAGTTCTTTTGTGGATAAAAAAACCCTGGCTAATTAATAGGAAACAGAGAGTGAATATAAATGGACAATTTTCTCAGTTGAGTGAGGTAAGCAGTGAGGTACCACAGGATCAGTACTCGGTTCGATGCTTTTTAACTTAGAATCATAGAATCATAGCATGTTAGAGTTGGAAGGAAACTTGCAGGTCATCTAGTCCAACCCCCTGCACTCTGCAGGAGGATAGCTGAAAGTAGCCCTACATACCTACAACATACCCGAAAGATGGTCGTCCAGCCTCCACTTGAAAACGTCCAGTGAAGGAGCATCCACCAACTCCCGAGGCTTATTTATTAATGATTTGGGAGTAAGCAGTGAAGTGGCTAAATTTGCAGATGACACGAAGTTGTTCAGGGTGGTAAGAACTAGGCAGGATTGTGAATCTTCGGCTTTGAAACGGAGATGAGCACCGCAACCCTAGAGTCAGATTCGACTGGCTTTCGAGCAAGGGAACCTTTACCTTTACTTTACACTATTGTGCTAAATCCCTCAATAAACTCTGTACTCCTTCTAAATCAGGTCTCTGTCATCCCTTTCCAGTTGAAAACCCGCTAATCACAGCCACCTCTTTAGGTAAAGGATGTCGGCTTTGTGTACCCTGCACAGACACGCAAGCTAATTCCCCATGTTAATCTGAATGTATGTTTACATATTTGTGGGGGTGTGGGAACCACTGTGTCCCAATTACTCCCTCGCCCCATTCACATCCAGTTTGGCCCTTGACAGAACTAGATCATCGCAGGGTACTGGGCCCCCCTATTTGGGAATCACTCATTTAGCCTGACCAAATCCTGCCAAAGGCAACGTTTCTGGCCAACTTCAAGTCTTCCACGTAATGAGTCTCGCCACGGAGACTCAGTGGGTGACCTTGGGCCAACTGCGCTCTCTCAGCCTAGCCTACCTCACAGGGTCGTTGTGGCGATAAAATGGAGGAGTGGAGAATGACATACGCCTCGTTGGGTCCCCACTGGGGAGAAGAGTGGGGGGTATTAAATGAATTAAATAAAGTAATTTATACAGAACAGGGCTGTCCTGGGAGAGGAGAGGGAGCGCACCTGCCACTCCAACGTGGTTTTCCACAAACCGAATGTAGTTCTGTGCTTTCGGTGGGAGTTCCTCCCATTTCCTGGCATTCGTCGTGTCCATCTTCCAGCCTGGCATCGTTTCATACTCCACCTCCACTTTCTGCAGTATTTCTTGGTTAGCTTTATTTTTAAAAAAAGACAAGAAGTGTGAAATCGGAACACAATCTGACGCTGAAAAAGTATACAAACATTTGGCATTATTATTATTATAAAACAGAACGTTGGGTTGGCAACAGCCACTTGTTAGTTGCTGTCAAGAAAATAAATGTTTAGGCCGAAAGGGACGTCTGTATCCATTAGCTGCTCTTGGGGAGACTGTGTTTTATTTAATGCCACACTTCCAAAAATATTCCCGAGGGAGCTTACAAAGACCATTAACACAATAAGAAGTAGGCCCCAAATTAGAAGAGCTACAGTCAAATGTGTTTCAGTGAAAGCAGTAGTAAAATTGTCAAGTGAAATAGAAAAAGACGGGTGGGAAAGATAAAAATGAATTACAGCAACAGAGCCTCAGTTTAAAATAGAAAATAATGAAGACGGGTGTTCTGTTTTCAAAATCCTGGCATCGGTGTTACAAATATGTCATCGCCTTGCTAGGCGAATGGTAGAAGCACGCAGCAGCACCATTCTGGGGGGGGGGACGGAGGGCAAAGCGTCACTAAGAACTGGTGACAGAAAGTGCTGTCAACTTGCAGTCAACTTAACTGCAAGCCTGTAAGGTTTCCAAAGCAAGAGACAAACAGGCCTCTGCATCACGACCCTGGACTTCCTTGCTGGTCTCCAGGGGTCGTTTCGTAAAAAAAGAGCTAGGGGAACTCATTAGCATAACTCATTAGCATATGCCACACACCCTGACATCACCGGAAGTGTGTCATAAGGCCACAC